GTCATCGTCAATTTCTTTCATTTGTGTTTAAAATTTCCAGAATATAGGTCTTTCACCTCTGGGTAAGTTTATTCCTAGGTATTTTACTCTTTTCAGTGCAATTATAAATGGTATTGTTTTTAAATTTTGCTTTCTGCTACTGCATTATTAGTGTATAGAAATGCAACAGATTTCTGTACATTTATTTTGTATCCTGTGGCTTACTGAATTAATTTATCAGTTCTAGTAGTTTTCTGGTGGAGTCTTTAGGATTTTCTATATATAGTTATCATGTCATCTGCAAATAGTGACAGTTTAACTTCTTCTTTACCAATATGGATGCCTCCTATTTGTTTCTCTTGTCTGATTGCTATGGCTAAATCAGTATTCTTTTCAACAAAATATTCATGTGAGCCATCTAAAATGAATGTGGGTTACAATATTAAAAATCTTTGCTATTCTTTCATAGAAGCAGAGTACAGTGGTGGTTGCCAGGGGCTGCAGAGTGGAGGAAATGGGAAAGTGTTGGCCAAAGAGCACAAACATTCAGTTCATAAGATAAATTCTGGGGATATAATGTACAGCATGGTAACTATAGTTAATAATACTGTTTTGTATACTTGCTAATTTGCTCAGGTAGCACTATTTTGGGGTGTGTGTGTGTTTAAGCAGGCTCTACACACAGTGTGAAGCCCAACATGGGGCCTGAACTCAAGACCCTGAGATCAAGGCCTGAAGTGAGATCAAGAGTCAGATGCTGGGGCGCCTGGGTGGCTCAGTCGGTTAAGCGTCTGCCTTCGGGCTCAGATCATGATCGAGCCCCGCATCAGGCTCCCTGCTTGTCGGGTAGCCTGCTTCTCCCTCTCCCACTCCCCCTGCTTGTGTTCCCTCTCTCGCTGTCTCTCTCTCTCTCTCTCTCACTCTGTTAAATAAATAAATAAATAAAATCTTTAAAAAAAAAGTCAGATGCTTAACTGACTGCCACCTAGACACCCCACTAAGAAAGTAGATTTTAAACGTTCTCATCACACACACAAAGAATGGTAACTATGTGAAATGATAGATGTGTTAATTACCTTGATTGTGGTAATTATTTATATGTATGTCAAATCATTACATTGTACACCTTTAAATGTATACAATTTTTATTTGTCAATCTTACCTCAGTAAAGATTGGAAAAAGGTGATTAACATATGAAAATCCATTATTAGAAAATGATAATTAAGAATAGGAGCTGAGGGGTGCCTGGGTAGCTCAGATGGTTGAGTGACCGACTCTTGGTTTCAGCTCAGGTCATGATCTCAGGGTCGTGAGATTGAGCCCCATGTCAGGTTCTGTGCTCAGTGTGGAGTCTGCTTGAGATTCTCTCTCTCCCTCTTCCTCTGCCCCTCCCCCCTCTCTCTCCCTCTAAAATAAAATAAATAAATCTTAAAAAAAAAAAAGAGTAGGAGCTGAGAAGCCATAAATATAAACTTTTTCGATCAATCCCCTAATAGTTTCCTATTATCTTGGGTTCTCTTGGGATGAACACTGCTTTGGAACATGACATAGTTACAGAAATACTCTCACAAAAAATTCTCTTCGTTAAGGGATGGTTATTTAATTTACGATCTTTAAGAATTGAGGTTAAGTTAAAATAGTGATCATCTTATTCACAGATTAGGTGAATTCCCTTGGAATTGAAACACAAACACATTTATTTCTACATAACATCTAGTAAATAAAGGAATCTTCCATGACCATATGTGGTCAGTGGCCAAACCTCACAGGAGAGTGAGACTAGAACAGATGTCTATAGCCAACCGAGCTATTTCTCCACTCAGATGCCTGGACTTTTGTCTGAATAAACCACTTAGAAAGTTTAACTTGGTTTCTTATAGATATAGACTGCTTCCTGAATTTTGTCTTCCTGTCTCATCCGGATGATAGCACCCAATGAAAAAGTACAAGTCTCTAAAGTGCTGGGTTTAATGAAAGATAATAATAATAAAAAAAACCCTGGTATATTATGTCCTTGTGGGTACATATGCTACTGCAGATATCGAATGATTCTTAAAAGTACTACTGAGTTTTCAAACTATTCACTTTTATTAATGTGCACACAGCATTAGGTGAGGCTCCGTGAACTCTGGAAAAGAATAGAATGCATGAGCCTTTCCCCAAAGAGCTTATATCAGGGGGAAAAAACACATGAAACAACTAGAGAAAAATACGTAATTATTATATACACTTAGAAAATGGCCAGGGCACAACATAAAATTAAATATTCTATGATGAAGATTTTGTTTTTAAATGTATTTAAAACTAGAAATCCTAAAGCAGTGGCTGGTAGCCAGCCCACATTGTCCCAGTCTGAGACACAGTGTAGATGTCACATTCCCCAGCCCCAAGCGACGTGCAGTGAGTGAGTGCAGGGCTATAAATAGGAAAAGGCAGACAGTTTACAGTATATACTAGACTTACTTGAGCAAGACCATTCTGATGAAATAAATGTAAACAGAGCATGAACATAATGTATAAACAACAGAGCAGATACACCTTGTGGATGGAAATTGAAGGAGAAACCTCTCCTTTTCTAGAAAGGCAGGAGGGTGTGACAGAGTATTAGCTTTGGTTTCAGATGCACTGAAATTTGAAAACATTCAAATCAGGGCTTTTCCACTAACTATGAAACTGGGCACATTATCTAACTTCTGCAAATCTTATCTCCCCACATTTGCTTGAGGCTACTAACTTCAGCAACTGATAGTATTCATTCTGTTAAAATGAGTTAACATCTCACCACGTTACTGTTACCTCTGTCTTCTTTAATAGAGCTACTTCTTTAATAGAGCTACTCACAAAAGGGATTGTGTCTTAATAGTCTTGGTACTTTGAATCAGTATACTGGAGAACTGCTCTTGCTGTTGTATGAGCCGAGGAAAATTCCATGAACCAATAGGAGTTTCAGAAGCTGTCCGAGCACCAAAAACGGAGAGAATTCGTGAGAGGGGTGAGAGCATTCCAGGCACAAGCAACAGCTTGGGCTTCAGCGTAGCTCTGAAGTGAGACAGAAGGTGGGGGGTTTGAAGGAGGAGAGTCTGAGACACAGGCGGGAAAATGCTGGCTGGGTGTTCTGGGGCCCCATGCTATGTGCAGGTAAGCACAGAGGATGAAGAGGAGCCTCCAGGCAGAGTCCTTGGCCATTTGAATGGCCAGTGCTGGGGCCTGGAAGCCCAGAAATGCAGCAGTTGAAGCTAGGGATGGAGTGCAGTCAGGAAGTGCTTCTGGGGGCGGGGGGAGAGGGGCTCCCAGCACTGCACTTCCGGGAGGGAGTTGAAGGAAAAGCCACCGGATTTGGCAACAGATTGCAAGCAGCATTAGTCACCTTTTAACAACAGAGAAAAAAAATGCAGCAATAAGAAGCCATTTAATGTAGTGGTTAAGGTGGTCCTGGAGCTGGACCACCTTGGGTCACCTGTAGGCTTCCAGCTGTGCAACCTCAGCAAAATGATTTAAACCTCTCTGAATCTCTATGCCCCTCTTCAGTAAAATGGGGATGGTTTCTGTCTCTTAGAGTTATTTCGTTTGGATGATACCTGTAGAAACTTAATACATGTTTTCTGTGGTGGCTAAAATGAATTTAAAAGAAAAAGACGTCCAGAGTTGATCAAAGACTTTATGTTCAGAGGGTGGTGGACTTCATTTGCTTTTTATGTTTTCTACTGGTTGAGGACTCATGCTCCTTAAATATTATATTGAATTTCTGTTTATTGGGAGACTTATTTCAAATTGGGCCCTAGGTCCTTAATTTTAGCTGGTGACAGGCAACAGAAATGCCCTGTTGACCTCTCCAGGTTAAGAGGTCTGACAGCAAACGTCCAACTCCCACTCTTTCTAGTCATCCTCCCTGACTTCAAAAGGCAGCCCGGTTTTGCAGTCCTGCAGGCTCAAAACCTTACACCCAATTCTAACTTCTCTCCCTAACCCCCATACCAAAATCATAATCAGGTCTCATTCCTTCTTTCATTGTAAAGCCTCTTAGATTCAATTCGTCTTAATTTCCACCTTTTCCTTTCTCCGTGCCCCCTACCCTTGTTTTTCCTTTTGGCAGCCCTCTGATGACCTCCCAAATGCCAAATTAATGATCAACCCGTTACTTAGGACACCACTTACATGCCTTATTTCCCTTTGTCGGGAATTCTCAGTAGTTGTTCTCTGAGTGTTAGAGCGAGTTCAAATTCCTGGGTTTGGTATTGTCTTTCCTTCCAATAGCCGTTTTCCAAATTCTCAATTGGGGGATGGTGCCTTGAATCCACGCACAGCTCCACTTTCCAGAACGTCCCTCCCCCATCCTACCGATGAAATCCCATCCCTTCCAGAAGACCTGGTTTGATTCCCACATCCCCCAGGAAGCTCTCATTGGCCAATTATTCCAGCCCTAATATCCTTTATCACTTGGGGACCCCGCCCCACCTAACACCGAATTATCTTATACACTCGTGACTTTGTCTCGGAGGGTGGGACCCCATGTCTGGCCGAATTTGCACATCACCAAGCAAAGATCTCGCACTCAAATAACGCTGAAAAACTGGATGGATGAATAAATGAACATGCTCCTGGTCCAGTCCCTTCTTGCTAATTCCCAGCACCTACCCCCTCTTCCTACCAGAGTCTGACCCAGTGAGTCCGACCTCCGGACGCCGCCAAGCAGCACGGGGATCGACCGTGTTCCTGAATCCAGAGCATTTCCACGTAGCCCGCCCTTCGCCTTAACCCTGAGCCGAGGACCGTGGTGCAAAGCCCCGCGCTCTGCTCTTCCATGGCAACCGGGTTGGTTTCGGGAATTGCCGCCACTAGCGCCCATGACCCCACGGGGGTCGAGGGCGACGCCGCCAGAACCGCAGGGGGATTCGGTGGCGCCCCTCGCCCTCCCCCTCGCGGCCATTGGGCAGCCTCGGCGGCGCGCCCTGTGGACGGGGCGGGGCCCTCCCCATCTCCCCTCGTTCTCCTCCCCTATTTCCCGGGGTGGGAACGTCGGGAGGCGGGAGGCGTGGAGGGGCTGCTGAGGGGCGTCCGGTTACGTCTCCGCCTTCCTCAGCCTGGTCCACCGAGCCGCTAGGTTTGCGGGACAGCAGTTCGGGAACATGTTGGCCGCGATGCGCCGGAGCGGGGCTGCGTGGACGCGGGCGCTGCTGCTGCAGCTGCTGCTGGCGGGGCCCGGGGGCTGCCTGAGCCGCCAGGAGCTCTTCCCGTTCGGCCCGGGACACGGGGACCTGGAGCTGGAAGCTGGGGACGACCGTGTCTCCCCAGCCCTGGAGCTGAGGCAGGCGCTCCGCTTCTTCGACAAATCCGACATCGACTCGGTCTACGTGAGTGCGACCCCTGGGGCAGGCGGTGGAGGCTGTCGGGGAGGAGGGCATGGGGCCCGAGCCGGCGTCGGAAGGAAGGCCGGGGCTGGTGGGGGCGCCCGCGGGGCTGGCCGGACGTGGGCGTCGTGGGCGGGGACCCGGACCCGTCGGCCGCGGGGGCGCGGGGCGCGGGGCGCGGGGCGCGGCGCGGGGTCTCCCGGCCCCCGCGGGCTCCCCGCCTCCGCATAGCCAGCCGACGTCTCCGCGCCGCCTGGCCACTGTTGCCGGAGGAGCACGCGGGTCTGCGGAGCTCGCCCGGTCTGCGCCGCCCCGCGCGCGCCCTGCGGAACCCGGGGAACCCCGGCATCCCGGGATCCCGGGATCCCGGGCGGAGTTTCCTCTCCGGCAGCTGTGGGCGGCATTGCCGCCGGGAAGTAGGTCCGCGTCTCGCTATTGTCCTGTGCCTTTGGGGACGGGACCCGGTCCGGTAGGAACCAGGCGCGGGCGCGGAACCTCGGCAGGGCAAAGGCCAGAGCTGGGTCCCAGGCGGCGCGCGGGCCCTGGGACTTGCGTGGGTGCCGGGGCAGGAAAAGACAGCCGGAGCCGGCCTCTGCCCCGGCAGTTTAGCCGACAGCCTGCAGTTGTGTGTGGACTCCGGATGTGTCTTGGCAATGAGTCTGCTCTCCAGTTGATTGAGCTCGTTTCAGTCCAGAGTTTCGGGCTGGGAAAGCAGGACGACCCGGAGATCCAATTTCCTATAGCAGAGCACTGTCACCATGGGGGCCCCCACTGGGAAGCGGGCCCAGGTGGCCTTTTAGTTCTCTGGAGCCTTCTTAGAATTGGCCGGGCCTGGGGACGCTGTCAACTTGGTAAAGTCCTTTCGTGCCGCCGCCTTCCCCAGCCGCGCACCATGTGGATTTCATATAAAGCTGTGCGCATTCCAGAAGTGGGGCGGGCGGGGGGTGGTGGGGACAACACAAACAGCGGCTGGAGCCTGTCCTGCCTGTGAAATGGCTGTGTTCATCGTCTGGCCGGGGCAGACGCGCCTTGGACAACACCCACGTGCAGATCGCCAGCTTTGACTGAAAAGAATGAGTCCTTAAAGTCTCTACCCACAGAGAGTCTTCCCCTTGTGAGTTGGCTGCCCTGACCTCCCTCGCAGTCTGGTAAAGCCTGTAAGACCCCTTCTTAGGATAATATTCTTAATTACATAAACTAAAATCTGCAGGATTGCCTAGGAAATCAATTATGTTGAAATCCAGATAAAAATACGAAAACAAAAAGTGTCTGAAGTAGTAATATATGTGCTTATTTTGTTTAAAGATTTTATTTATTTATTTATTTGAGAAAGAGAGTGAGCAAGAGAGAGAGCGAGCAGGAGCAGAGGAGGAGCAGAGAGAGAAGCAGTCTACCCCCGCTGAGCAGGGAGCCTGATGCAGGACTCGATCCCAGGACTCCGGGAACATGACCTAAGCCCAAGGCAGACCCTTAACCATCTGTGCCACCCTGGCGCCCCATATGTGCTTATTTTTAACCATATTAAATAGCAAGGTGTAACACCGTGTCCAGTGGGGGGGGTCAGATAATTACTGAAATTTCAAGATCGTCTGGACAGTAAACTATATTTGAAGACACCTGCCATGACTAAAACGTGTCATGAGAATATCTGTGACTTCTGTTTGTGGCGAGGTCATAAAGAGTTACTGCTATGCTTTGTTGCCTGCATTCATAATGGAAGGAAATGCTAAATACCAGTTAGGGGTTATTGAAAATAAAAATAAAATTTCATTTTTCCTTCTTAACCGACCCACTGAATTCCGTTGTTAAATTTGGACCTCCTACCCTCCTTTGTTTGTGGCATCAGACTAACCACATTACATTCTAAAAACCTAGAAAATCTATTGCTAAAATAAAGGATTTCAGTCAAACCGTACCTTCCGGGTCCACATGGGTTTAATCTGCATTTCAATGAGAAGGAATTCCAGAGCTCTGTTGGATGTTCTATCTGCCACCGTTGGGTTCCCAGGAAGCTGAGTGTGAAATGGAGATCAGCAGGCAGGTTATTTCATGGGGGAGGAGGGGTGAGCGCCTCATATCCTTACCTATGGAAGGGAAGGAGGTGCAGAAAGACTGAGCAGAGGCTGATGCTGAGTGGTCCCAGCAAAGGTCTCAGCCAGCCCCTGAGAGCCCTGAACTGGGATGGCTTTCCCTGTCTCAAGTCTGTGTGAGAGGGCGGGGCCTCTGTGCCCTCACAGTGATCAGTCCATCAGTCCTTGGATGAGGGCTGCCCTGGAAGGAAGTGTGGCCCTGGGCGAGGCAGTCCTCAAAGAGGGCTGACAAGGGAGGGCTGCACTCCCGGAAGTCAAGGGGGATCCAGTGTGTGATGGCCCCGAGTGAAGAGGTGAATTGACGGGGATGTGCTCATGAGCTAGGTGGTCTGTACCTTCTTGGGCACCTGGCTGAGAGAATGGAAAATAATTATTGGGTGAGTGTATCTCCGTGTGTCAGGGACTTGCTAGTTTTGGGTTATTTAATCCTCAAAACAGCCAGCCCTTCTTTTCAGATGAAGAAATAATAATAAACACTGGTCCCAGAATGCCAAAATCCTACCAGATGTTTCTACCCAAATGCCTATCTGGTCACTTGAGGTTCCACGTGGCAAAGTGAGAAGTACTCACATCCCTCCTCCCTTCAGCTGCTTTCACTGCCACTTGCTTTTCCTTGCTAGTGGTACCTTGTGAGGGTTCTTACACTGCCCTGAGGCTGCCTTACGCTGTCCCTTTATTCGCTTATTCTGCAAATACTTAACAAGTGCCTACTATGTGCCAGGCACTATTTTAGGCATTTAAAATACAAGTGAACAAAACAAAGAATCCTATCCTCGAGTAGTTTACATTCTAGCAAGGGAGTGGGACCAAGAAAATAAACGGCAAACATCATAAAGTAAATTATACAGAATTTTAGTCGGTGATATACTACAAATGTCAGGGGTCTGGGATGGAGTAGGCAGTTGGATAGGAGTCTAGAATTTAGAAGCCTAGGCTTTGGATATAAATTTCGAAGTCACTGGCACATAGATGGTATTTAAAACAAGAAAACTAAATGAACCCCACTAGGATAGGATATGTAGGTAGGGAACAGGTCCCAGGGAGCCTCCAACAGGTGAGGGAAAAGACGAGACAGCAGTGGAGGCTGACAGGGTATGGCCAGTGAGGTGAGAGGAGATGCAGCGAGGAGTCCTGGAAGCCAAGTGAGGAAAGTGTATCGAGGAAGAGGGAGTGAGCTGCCATGTTAAATGGGCCCAAAAGGTGAGGACTGAGAGTTGCCCATTGGCTTGAATAATGTGGTGCTCAGTTCCCCATTACACCTTCACGTTCATGGCAGGCCCTCCCATCTGTATCTTTCTTGTCATGTGGGCAATGACACTTTCCAACTGTGTTCAGCTTCTTTAGTGCCCTCCCCCCATCCTGACTTCAGAAGACCACGGACTCTTTGGCCTGGGTTGAGGGCCTCAGCGCCTACAGTTCTAGCTTCATTTCCAGCTTTCCCTTAACCCTTCTCAGAGAAAATTATGCCTTACTTTGGCCCTTTGCTCATTCCTTTATTCTTCCACTTTGTCCCCCCTTTACCTCTCAGATTCTCTCCCATTCTTTCAGAGTCAGCACAAGCCCTTCCTCCTACCCAACTGACTGGTACCAACGGACTGCATTCATCTCTCAGTCTTTAGAACTCTCTGAATTCCAGTACTATCTGATTTGGAGCTCAATACATTGACAGATGTTCACGTATCTTCATTTTATCTGTTCACCTGGAGTATCAGTAGGTAGTGTAGAAAGAGGGAGGTCTCTGGAGTCCAATACGTCTGGCCTTGAATCTCCCTTCTGCCACTTACTTGTTGTGGATCTTGGGTAAGTTATCCAACCTCTGAAAGTTTTGGTTTGTTCATCTGTAAAACAGAGGCATCATTGCCTTTCTCGTGGAGTTGTGAACATCCTTGAATTATGTATTTAAACAGCTTATCATGTGGTAATGTGCTCTTAAACGGCGGGCTTTCTTCATCGAGAGCCGAGACTGTGTCTTTTTTAAAAAAGCCAAATCTTTATTCTCTACTTTATTCTTGTAATACTCTGGTGCTATGTTTTTGATGTAACTTTTGAGAAAGATATTTCATATGTAACAGGCTAATGCTGGCTCTGTCAGAGGCATCTACAAAAATATGCTTCTTGTACTTTTACACATAATGTACAAAACCATAAAATCTGTCAAGGTGAAAACTCCCTGGAATTAAAAAAAAAACTTTTTTTAAAAGATTTTATGTATTTATTTGAGAGAGAGAGAGAGAACAAGTAGGCGGGAGGGGCAGAGGGAGAGGGAAAAGCTGAGCAGAGAGCCCTGAGCAGGGAGCCTGACATGGGGCTCGATCCGAGGACCCTGGAATCATAACCTGAGCCAAAGGCAGATGGTTAACCAACTGAGCCATCCAGGCATTCCCCCCCCGCCCCGTCTTTTTAAAAGATTTTATTTATTTGAGACAGCATAAGCGAGCAGGGGCAGGGCAGAGGGAGAGGGACAAGCAGACTCCCCACTGAGCAGGGAGCAGGGAGACACAGGGCTCCATTCCAGGGTCCTGGGATCATGACCTGAACCAAAGGCAGAGGCTTAACCGAATGAGCCACCCAGGCGCCCCAACTCCCTGGAATTTCTTAATGTATTGGGAAGTACAGCAAGGCAAGAGAAAGCATTCCATACAAATAGTGTTTCAGCTTTCTGGCCATACACTGTGTTCTTAGTGTAACTGAGGTGCAACTTATCTATATAAACACAGCATATTTTAGAAGCAAGTGAAATAAACGGAAGCACCAGTTCTTTAAATTACTCTTGATCACGGAAACGAGCAAGCAAGTCTGTTCCAAATTACTCTTGATCACGTAAGTGATCAAGCAAGTCTGTTCCATGGAAGCAACACTGGTGCGGGCGGCACCTATCTGAGCCTGTGATGGTTGCATGTGGAGATCAAGGAC